TCAACTACCAGTTCGGGGCCTAAAGGATCGTCGTGAAGTTTCTTGAAGAAGAAAGAGAAAATAGCAGGATCATCCTCAACACAAGCATCTACGGAACTAGTCAAATATTTTGAAGTAAATTTTGTAATCGATGACGACAAACTAGACATCTTATAGTGGTGAAAGAGCAAGACCGATCGTTTTCCAACACTATCCATAATAGCTCGTGACATTCTTACAACTCCAGTGTCAACGGTAGCATCGGAGCAAGCTTTTAGTGCAAGCAACCAAATTCTTGACGGAAAGAGAAGTAGAATGCATCCAGATATCTTGGAGGAGCTAATGTGCGTTAAAGACTGGGAAGATGCCAGAAGACAAAAACAACAATACACAGATGATTTGATGCAAGAATATTTTTCTAACTTTGAAATAACAGAATCTTCTGGAAGCACTTAGGTTTGTAATTTACTATTCCTAGCCACTGCACTCTTTTTTCCTTCGCTAAGGTTTTGTCCCGATCTCCTCACGGGTTTTACTTAGCAAGGTTTTTAACGAGGCAGTCATTTATGTGTACTCCTATTACGTCAATTTAATAAAATCACATCTTTTGGGGCATATGATATATATTTTTTAATTAAATTTAAAAAAAATACAAGGGCCAGGGCCGGCCCATGAAGGGCCTGGGCCCAGGCCCGACCCTGGCCCTTATGGACTAGGGCCAAGGGCCTGGACCGGGCCTGAATTTTTCTTCTCTGGCCCGGCTCAGGCACGGCCCAGCCCGTAATGGGCCTGGGGTCAAGCGTGCCGTGCCGGCCTGGCATGGCACGTTTGACATCTCATGTGCACCAGCAAACATTTTGACTTTAGTGAGAAAAAATAGCAAAGATAGTTTTTTACTATTGTGTTGTGTACGGAGGCTTGTGAAGGGTGAAAGACTCATGAGATGGAGAAAAGAAAGGGAACAAGAGAGAGAAGAAAAATAAATATAAAATAAAAGACTCAAAGGGTCACTCTACGTGTAAAAAATACAAACGAAAATGAAAAACAAAAAGGAATACCATATGTAAGTAGAAAAAGTGGTGAAACCCAGTTTAAGGAGAAAAAGAGAAGAAATAGTGGCAATAAATAGTATGTAATATGACATAATGATGGTGTTATATAAAAACAAAGTGATATTTAAAAGAGAAAAAAAAAAAACAAGTTCAATAGATCAATTTTGAAGCCCAAAATCAAAAGTAATCAGAAAATAAGAAAGTCCGTATACTGATTATTAAAATTATTAAGGGCACACTTAAATAATAAAATTAAGTGTAAATATAAAATTGTTTAATTTTCTCAAGGACACCTGCCCTTCTTGCATCCGTCCTTGTCACAATAACCCCTTACCTTATAGTTGCGATTTGATAATGGCTTAGTTTGGTATTGCTTTTCCCTCTTAAAATCAGTTTTTGCTTGTAGTAAAACTTGATTTTAGTGCTTGGTAAATCTACTCAAAAGTATTTTTTGAAGAATTTTTCAAGAATCTACAACCAAAATCAGAAGCAACCCAAAGGCAATTTTAACTTTTAAATTGTGCGGGAATCAACATAGTACAATTACTGAAACTTTCATAATACCCATGATACACCTAATGAAGTTTAAAATTTAGAATCTTTCCAATCTAAAATTCAGACTCGTAATATAATATAATAATAATATTGTAACAAATAATATCATAATTATATTAATAACTCTAATATTATTATTTTATCATATAATATCATATTATAATAATATATAATTA